AAAATCGAGAGGATATAAAATGTTAACTTGTGTCTTACGTGCAATAATCGTTCAAATGTTCTGGAAATCTTACTCTTCTTCCAGAACGCGTTGTTTTGAGTTTATTTTCGGATACTGTCGAAGTATCAACGTGTGTGTCTGCTGTCGATTGAGGTATTATAAGCGCAGAAGTTGTGTCGTGCGATTGTACTGAAGGAAAATCGACGTGAATAGGATTTCATTCTAAATACTCTGCTTTGAGGCGATCGATGCTGATGCTTTCGTTGGTTCCGTTCTTATCGATTATATAGTACTAAGTCTCGTGTTGAAGAACTTTGAAAGGTTATTCGTATGCCGATTCGAGAGGTCTTCGATGCGAGTCTCGACGTACGAAGACATGTGTACTATGTCGTAAGTCAGGTTGAACGAAAACATCAGTTGATTATGGTCGAGTGGAAACAGGTTTAACTGAACGCATTGCGTTTGTAAGCCTGTTCGTGTAGGAGGTTAGATCCATGTCCATCGAAGAGGATGAAGGATCCACGAACTCTCCTGGAAGTCAAAGGGTCGTACCATAAACGAGTTGAGACGCAGTGTATCCAATGTCAGACTTCACTGCATTGCGTATGTCTAGTAAGACGAGTGGAAGAGCGTCAGTCCACTGAGAAATGTTTGAGGCTGATAGTGACGCTTTTAGTTGTCGGCGAAAACGTTCTACTAACCCTTTTGCTTGTGGGTGGTAGGCTGTCGTTCGGAAGCGAGTGATTCCTAATTTTGCGGTTAGACAACGGAAAAGTTCAGATTCAAACTGACGTCCACGATCTGTAGTGATTGTTGTTGAGCAGCCAAAGTTTGCTACCCGTAGTTCGACGAAGGCGCGGGCCACCGTCTCAGCAGTAATGTCTTTGATGGGTACTGCCTCTGGCCATCGAGTAAAACGGTCTACACAGGTTAAAAGATAAGAATATCCATTTGAATCTGGTAAAGGTCCTACCAAATCCAAAAATGAACATGGTCGAAGCGAGCATCGGGAGTTTTAAACGAGCCTAAGGGACATTTGTTATGCCTACTAACCTTACATTTCTGGCAGCTTAAACAGGAGCGTGCCCACTCCCTCACGTCTTTATTCATACTAGGCCAGCAAAACCGTTCTGCTATAAGCTTGATGGTTGCACGAACACCTGGATTAGAAAGTTTGTGCAACGTATTGAAGATGTTGCGTCGATAATGTTTCGGCACGATTGGACGATCCCTACATGTAGATGTGTCACGTAGTAAGGTTTCCTTACCTGTTCCCATCTGCTTGATGCGCAGTTTAAGTGTTGTTGAGGCCAACTCGTGCTGAAGATCACTGTCTTCTTTTTGAAGTTGGGTGAGTTTTAAAAGGTCGATTCCTTGGAAACTGTTCAAGGAATTTATAAGAGACAAGGCGTCTGCAACTACATTGTTTGCTCCAGAAATTTGTCGAATATCTGAAGTAAACTGCGAAATGTAGTCCAGTTGTCGAGACTCACGAGGTGAGTACTTGTCTGAAGATGAGCTTAAGAAGAAGGTAAGTGGTTTATGGTCGGTAAAAATGGTAAATTCACGGCCTTCGATATAGTGTTAAAAAAGCCGGACAACACAATACATAGCTAGGAGTTCCCTACCGAATGTGCTGTACCTCGATTCAGTGTCTAGCAACCGTCTAGAGAAAAATGCCAAAGGTTGCCAGGAGTGTTTAACCCATTGTTGTAAGACTGCTCCGATTGCTCAGTCGGATGCGTCTACTATGATGCTAATGGGCGCTTTAGGGTCCCGATGAGCAAGCATTGCTGCTCGGGCGATATGTTCCTTAACCGTGGAGAATGCTTTTCGGGTAGTGTCATCTAGATTAATGGATTTCGCATTTCCACGAAGTTGGTCGGTAAGGGGTTTCATAAGTAACGCGCATTTCGGTATGAATCGTCTATAGAAACTTACCAGACCGTTAAACGTGCGCAATCGCTTGATGGTGGTCGGTTCTGAGTAATCCAGAATGGCCGGCACTTTTGTTCTAAGGGGTTGAATGCCTTGCGCATCTATAGTGTGTCCTAAGAAGTCTAAGGATTCGGTTCCGATTTGGCATTTCTGAATGTTAACGGTAATGCCATGTTTTTGTAGTCGGTCGAAAACAAGGTCCAGATGCTGGAGATGTGATTCTCTGTTCGGACTTGATATTAGGCAGTCATCAACGTATGCATGTACGAAGTTGAGACCTCGAAAAACGTCATCTATGAACTATTGGAAAGTCTGTGCCGCGTTTCTCAGACCGAAAGGCATTCGCAAAAATTCACGGAGTCCGAAGGGAGTTATAATAGCGGTTTTTGGAATGTCTCTAGTGGCCATAGGAATTTGGTTATACGCTTTTACCAAGTCGATTTTTGAAAAGACAGTTGCACCTTTCAAGGTAGCTGTCAAATCGTGAATGTGGGGCAGCGGGTAACGATCGGGAATGGTTTTTGCATTCAATCGCCGATAGTTACCAGTTGAACGCCAATCGTTGCTGTCCTTTTTAGGGACCATGTGCAACGGAGATGCCCATGGGCTATTTGACGGTCGTATGATTCCTAAGTCTATCATACGGTCGAATTCGTTTTTCGCCAACCTTAACTTTTCGGGGGCCAGTCGGCGTGCTTTCGAGAAGACAGGTGGTCCTGTAGTCGTGATGTGATGTGTAACATTGCTGGTTACACATGGCAATTTCGGTTGTGATTGGTAAATGCCAGAATATTTATCGAGTAGTGGTTGGTAGAAGGGGTCTATAGTGTGCTTAATAGTGACTGGGGATAACCTGCAACCAGAAAAAGAAGTCAGGCAAACAGATAAATTAGTGTTTCCGTCTACTAGCCTCCGTTTGCGCGTATCGATAATTAAGTTGTGGTGTTGTAGAAGGTCCATACCAATGATTGGCATAGAAACACCTGCAACAACAAAGATCCAGTGAATAGGTTTGCGCAAACCCACGTTAAAATAAACATACCTTTTGCCATACGTAGCGATAAGCTTTTCGTTTGCCGCCTGTAGATTTAAAACCGGCTTGTGTAGCTGGTCGTTGGAATTCGCTGGGAGAACGCTAACCTCTGCGCCAGTATCGACGAGGTAGTGAACTCTCGTTATCACATCAGTGACATATAAAAGACGGCTATGTTCGCCGGCTACGGTCGCCGTTAACGCGTACCGGCTTGGAAGTTTCCCGAAACGTTCTTCGCGTCGACCGATTTCGCGTTGGGAAAATTGCAGGGTTTTCTGCAATTTCTGGCGGACTTTCCGTACTGGTTATGGTACCAGCACCAATCAGGATTATCCGTCTCTCGAGTTCTAGATACAGGTCGCCTACGTGATGTGCTTCTCCGCGGAGTAAGTGATCGTTTACGGTCGTTACAGAGTTTGAGATAGCGCGTAAGTGTATGACATATCACAGTTATGTCATTCTGGGTCGTTTGAGGCTTTTCTTTGACTGAAAAAACCTCGGCGTTGGAAGACTAAGCGATTTCGAGAATGCGGTCGGCAGATGCAGCTAGCTCGTCTACGGCGTTGTTTTGGAACGAGACCAAAACAGCTTGCACCTGTTGAGGAAGTTTGGATAAGAAAAGTTGTTTGAATAGGCCGTCATCGAAGGTTCTTTGGCCAATGACTTCTCGCATTCTTTGCAACATGTCTGTGGCAGAACCGTGTTGCAGGTCGATGTTGTTGAGGAGTTGGTCTAACCTATGTCGATCGGTTAGATCTCCGCGTTTAAGGATGGCATGTTTCAGGGTTTGGTATGGATCAGAAACATCACTAGTGAACATACTAAGTGTTACGTACCTGTTAAATTCGCGCAGTAATGCCTTGACTACTGCGAGGAATTGTGTACGTGTATCGTTCACACCGTGCTCGAAGAAGTCGGCTTCTGCGTAACAAAACCAGGCTTCGATGTTGTCTGGCCAGAAAGGCATAAGTTGGAAAGAAGGTGGGGACACAGTCTTTAACTTAAATACTTTAGGGGTCTGTTCAGTCATAGTAATATATCAAGTACGAAAAGTGAACGAGTGGGAAATATATATATAAACCCAAAAACACGGGAAAAAAATATCACAATGTTAAAAAAATTAAAATAAGACAATGATAAATAAAATCACAAAAAGGAACAGACTCAGAGTTTACAATATGGTGTACCAGATCACGTCGGACTCACCAATGAAGATGCCACAGGTATTCGGAGTTTGACAACGCTTTAACCAGTAACACCTTCTAATACGAAGCGCACCCACCAAGTAAAATCAAAAGACAGAAGTGAGGAGATCGAAGATATATTTGATAAGCTACCAATATATCGAGGATCGTTTGCACTAATCTGGCTAGCGATTGCAGCAGATGTTGAGCACGGCGTTCCCACACGTGATCTGGAGCGGATGCTTGACCGAGCGCCTTCAGCTAGATGAGTCCACTAAAACTGTGGTCAGCATCCAATGTCGAAAACTTACAGAGCTATTTGATTTTGGGAAATTATTTACCGCTACAGTTTGAAGAATGAAATGGGAAAATAAAACCATAAAATATCGATTTGGAAATGACCAAAACAAAATTCAAATGCATTATGATAACAAATCAGACTTCAGAGAACATTCTTTGGAAATAGTACGCAAACGAGTTAGAACAAAGTTCTGCACAAACTTTTTCATGGCTAGAATCACCAAGTTGTGATAGTTTACGCTAAAAATAATGGTGACAGAGGCCACTTCGGAGTTGTTCAAATAAATATTGTACGCCTATTGCGGTTTCGTAGATACCAAGTCTGACTGATCTAGGTTATACTTCTATTCCACTTCCACTATAAACTGCTTTCTTTTATGCTCATTGAGTTCCACAGGGAATATAAAAAGAATCATATACTTCCATGATCAAGAACGCTCTCTTTTATTGCCCGAACTGTGGTCCCAGTGAACAAGTTCGCTTTTCGGCTCTCCGAGATAAGATCATATGTAGAATACCATTTTGTCCAATAAAGTTTGTGTTTCGCAGTACATCCCGCCATGCTCAAGTGTATGCGTTTCTCTTGGTTCCCTTGTTTTTAAGTTGTTCTAGATTAAGTAATATACCTCTGTAAATGGGTGATCGATACAATATTCATACCCAGTTAGAACATTTGCAGTCGAAATACGTTGGTAAGCCACATTCTGATGCCTTTAGTATTCTTTTTCGTTTAGGTACAGGTCATGCTGATACCACTAAGTGGGAATGGCTAACAAACCAGCATAGAGATAGTTGTGCATCTTATCTGGGTCACTTTGACACACTGAACTTGTTTGCTATATGCGAAAACGAGTGCAAGGCAAGAGTTCGATTTAACCTTCTCGAGAAAATGCTTCAGCCATGTGGCCCTCCTCCAGAACGTCCTGAAGCATAGTTTAATTTTTAATACAAATACTCCACAGTGTATCGCATCAAACTACAACCTCTAGCACTTGGTTTTGCTTGGTAGACTTAAATATGTGAATAAACAAGATCAGAGTTCTTTTTGCCTAGTGTTTTGTTACTCATCTAAATATCACGGTTCCAACCCTCTTATTAGAGGTTAATCTGCCGAAAATTTACTCAGTAGAAGCGTCACTCCCCACGTATTTTCGTATGTGTGGTACCACTATCACTTTTAATCATCTCTCACCTACATCCCAATAATTTTATTATTAATACATAAACTCAACTTCGTTATTAGTTTGTGGTATTATTTGGAGCTTGAAAGATAGATTTAGCCAACAATTTTACATAGATCAGTAATGTAGCTGAACTGCTAAAATAACTGTTGAATAACTGTTCAGTCAGTTGTTTTGGAAAGAATCGTTCGAATCAAATTATCTCATTAAATTGCTGCGTTCTATATTCTTTTTTTCACGGCAATAGTATCTGTTTATGGGATTACTCGTACTTGTCATTGTAATTTGTAAATATTTAGAATCACAATTCTAGCGTTTTTTTCGGTGATATTCCAATTTGTTTTTGTAACATGTGGCTTATGTGTCTTACTGTTAGCCACGGAAAATCCATTTCAATAGTGAAGGACACCTCACACAAAACGTGTATTAGACAGATTTTTGATTAAATAAAATGAATTCATCAAAAAACACGTTGGCTGAGGTGACTGTAAACCTTTATTGCGTATTCCTAGTTGGTTGGAATAAAGCTAAGAGCGGCTAAACAAAGATCGATAATTCATCAGGTCACTGATTGTTAGTCTGAAGCCTGTCAGAGGGTGCGAGCTACTTCGTTACATGTCATTTTATTTATAAGTGACTGATTAAGTGTTTTAGCGATCACTCTTATGTGGAAACAGTCTTATTAAACAGCGCAATATATATTTACCTTAATGGCACATTTCTTTATTCGTTGCAAATAGCGGAATCAAGGACTTCATCCTTTATCAACGCGTACCAACATTTCCTCAAGAACTTATGAGACAATAATAGCACTGCTTCTGTCGACCTTGCTTGAGCTGTTACCCTGTTTTTTATACACGTTTCCCGATGTAAATGACAGTCAGTGAGTCATTTAAAGGTCAAAACCGGCCTCCCTCAGTCTGATTTAACGGTAAGGAAATAAATAGTTGAGTGTATCGATCACTTCACTTATCCTATGTTGAGACTACTTGATTGGGGTCGTTGTGGTTGTCATAACCAGTGCTTAGAGACCTTGGATGATATGGATTAGAATTGGTCATCTTTCAGATCCTGAGTCCCGAATCCTCATGGTTTCTTCCTCCCATATCTAACCTTTTCTATTACAACGGGTACTGTTATTACATCTACTATCATAGGATTTATCTCACTATATCAATGTGATGTAACTTTCAGTCAGTCAGTCAGTAGCAACGTAGAACTTCGTACGTGCGTCCATCAGTTTGAGTTGCCATACCACATTAGCACAGAGATACAGTTGTCGATTCAAATCCCGTAGTTGTAGAGGTAGTAAGAGTATAAGCAGTAATCGGAAAGACTAGGGTTTGAAGATGTTATTCAAGGAGTATAATCTAGTGAAACAAATTCGGAAAGAGGAAAAAGGGGCACGAAGAATTCAGATTATAATTTGGGAGAACACAGAGTGGATGCACCTGCGCCATCGCAAACGATTTTGAGCCATGTCATTCAAGATGATATGACTTTATTTATTTATTTGAACACAAATATTGGTACAAAGGGGCCCAGACATATAGGAAGAAAAAAAGGAGAACAATAATGACCATAGATGTATGGTAGTGCAATAATAATAGGGGGAACGGAATGATATAACCAGAAACAATTTCTTCAGTTAAGGAAGTTACAACCACTTTTTATGAAGAAAGTAAGAGAAGGTTGCAGCAGGGTCGCCACTGGCTTCTATTCTGAACCATCTCTCGGACTCCAGCCAGAGAGTCAAGAAGGACCAACAGAAGCCATTCCTGTACAACTCCTTCATAACATGACACATCATACACTGACTACCTCCCCGCTCTGTCCGACTAGTCCCATCGTCGACGAATAATGCACGACGTGGAATTCTCTGGGACGACATTCGTAAAAAATGTCCAAGCCACCAAAGTCGATGTTTAAAGATGGTGACATCAATTGGATTATCGTCTCTGCGCCCAAACACACGTTACCGAACCTCTGCATTACTAACATGGTGTTGCCACTGGATGTCAGCAATCTATCGGAGACAACGATGATCAAACACAGAAAGTCGTCCAACATCCTCAACTCAGATAAGCCAGGTTTCACAAGCAGAGAGTAAAACTGCTTTCACCGACGCGTTGTAGATCGGACCTTTTACAACCAAACTGACATGAAGGCGCCAAAGATGGCCCAGATTGGCATAAGTCCTTCTGGCTTTCGTTATATGTGAATCGATCTCATCACTCACTCCACTACCAGCACTTATGTAGCTATCTAGATACACGAACTTCTCGACTACTCTCTGCTAACCACCCAGGGTGAGTACAGGACTAGAATCCTGCCAGTCTTGTAGAAGTACTTTGCACTTCGAAGGTGATATGACAGCTTGAACCAATGCAAATGTGCTACGTTCTACTCTGGATATGACTGACTGGGAGGTAGATTTCCTATAGTTTTATAAAAAATTCTAGTGACAAGTAGCAAGAAGTATAAATACTTTGTGACAATCTGTAACAGAGATTGGATTATATTGTAAATTTAACGGTATTCTATATTATTGAGTCTTAAAACCCGATTAACATCTCAACCACGTTACCGGGACGTTTTTTATTGTTCACCTTGGAAGTGTTCTAAAGTGGCTATTACTTAGTGATATTAAAACAAAGAAAATAGTCAATTTTCACCTGATTTGAAATAATTCGTCTTAGTGATTAGTTATATGAAAGACTTTTCAATGGCAAACCTAACGTATTATCCTTTTCATTATCACAGGCTGTGAAATCTAACCAGATATAAATATATGTAAGATGATATACCGCACTCTCTTAAGGTTTTTATTTAGCGTTTTCTTTTAAAGGGATATGAAGTATATCTCACTTAACCTACGAAATCGCTGTTTTAAAAGTTCTGGGTGCTAGTTAGTCGTAGTTAAATCGACTTCAATTGTATCTGAGTTTAGTTCTTAATAAGTGCTGGTCATGATATACCGAATGCAAGAAAAGCTAAGGAACACTTCCCGATCATAAATTTTTTAAACCAAAGGTAAATGGAATATATAATTTTTCTTCAAAGTAAATCGGGAAGTAAAATTTTTTAGGGTTAGAAGAAATCATTGTAATCAAGAGATTTTGTATTTTGTCTAGTAAAATCAACTCGTTCTGTGGTCTTTATACTTAAGATGATATGACCTAGAGACACATGTACTTCAGCTAATATACCTTGGTTAGGCCATCACAAAAGATAAACTCAAGTTGGAGCTAACGTCAGTATTTCATTAATAAGACTGGACGATTTGATTTTCTCTAGAAATTAACCACTTACAGCATCAAAATGTATCGTTTATGTAAAATGGGGCGGCTAGATTCTATCTCGATTACCATCTTTTTTATCTCCACACTAGAATATGTAACAAACCGAAGAGTGATGAAAAGTAATTTGCATTAACAGGGAGAACCTTGATTTCCCATGAAGATATTTACCGAATTACATTTTAGACTCTCCTTCACTTCTGGTCAACCTATGATAGATCACAGTTACAAGACGTTTGTGTGATTTCGAAATGATAATGTTATAATTGTAGATGTTATAGCAGGGTTTTCATTAAAATCCGACTTAATGAGGAATGAATGATTTGAGTTCATTTTGAACATTCGTCAGCTGACTAGCATAGAAGAAAGGATAGTACAATGCATATGTTATTTTAATAGTGATCAAGATTGTTAGGATTACAATTGGCTCTTGAAATAAATGGTCGCGCGGCCAATAAGCATCATTTTGGCCTACTATGCAACAGTCATACACCATAAAATAAACCCAAATGTGAGATTTACAGGTTTACAGACCACAGATCTATTACCATCAATATGATTTGAATATTCTCAGTCAAATTCTAAGTATAATGTCAAAAGTTTGGTGACTAACACTGTTATGGTATAAAGTACAACAACATATTGTACGGAAACTACCCTGAGAATAAATAATTCGAGAATACACACTATTCCTTTTGTTCACTTGGTTGAAAAACAAATACCATACATATTTATAATCGTAGTAGTTATATGACTTTCAATTGTGTGTTAAGTGTACAAGCAGCACCAATTAAGTAATACATAACAGAATTTTTTAAAATAGCAATATGTTTAAAACACAATTGTATGAACGAAGAATATTCTTTCCAATAATTTCTCATCAGGTTCTACAATTATAAATCCAAATTAATAATCCATAAAATTGGCCAGATTTAAGGCAGAGTACATCATTTGGAAATTGTAATATGTGAATTAAGAATTGTTATTTGTTATATAAAATCAAATCAGATTGTTAATGTTGGAGCTGACTAATATAAAGTGTTAACTTGAATCAGTTTATAAGCGAAATGAAATTGTGAGATAAATAATCAGAATAAATATAGTCAACATGGGGTGAGAGAAAAAAAATTTTGGGATAAAAATCGGAAATTACGTAATATGTGGAATAATATGAATTAGGTCAGATATAGTAGATTTAGGGGTGGATATTGTATAAATTCCTCAAAACGGTTATCAAATGTAATAATAATAACAATGATAATAAGTTTGGGACATAAAATGAAGATTAATCAAATTATGTCACCATATTATAAAATTGATTATTAACTAGTTGGCCAGGGTAAAAGGAGTGGCTGAACATACTTCTTTTGGATGCAAAGCTCTGCCTTTTGATCCGAATAGCTATTGCTTCAGCCATCTGTAGGATTCGCAGTCTGACGGAATTAATCTTCATTTTATGTCCCAAACTTATTATTATTGTTATTATTATAATTATTTTTACGACTGTTACTATCACTATTATTATTATTACATTTGATAACCGTTTTGAGGAATTTATACAATATCCACCCCTAAATCTACTATATCTGACCTAATTCATATTATTCCACATATTACGTAATTTCCGATTTTTATCCCAAAATTTTTTTTCTCTCACCCCATGTTGACTATATTTATTCTGATTATTTATCTCACAATTTCATTTCGCTTATAAACTGATTCAAGTTAACACTTTATATTAGTCAGCTCCAACATTAACAATCTGATTTGATTTTATATAACAAATAACAATTCTTAATTCACATATTACAATTTCCAAATGATGTACTCTGCCTTAAATCTGTCCAATTCTATGGATTATTAATATGGATTTATAATTGTAGAACCTGATGAGAAATTATTGGAAAGAATATTCTTCGTTCATACAATTGTGTTTTAATATAATGGGAAATTTTCAGCGAGTAATATGTTTGTCTAAACAGATGTCATTATGCACTTGAGTTGTTGTGGGCCTTATTTTATTTGGTTTTAATTTGGCATACATCGTTGACTAACAGATGGTAAGTCATCGGGAATTAGGTTATGATTTTTCGATTAATCTAATTGTCTAGTAAGCTGCAATCTACTTATTGATTTGTTAGTAGGTCGTAATGTAACAGCCAA